AATCGCGTTTGTTGGGCGATTGGCGAGTTATTGTTTTCTCTGCAAATTCCGTCTAAGATGATGTTTGAGTATACTTCTGCTCCCAGAAGTATATCTACCCGCCGACTTTTGTAGAATTCTGGATCTGCTAACTGTATATTTTCTAGGAATGACTATGACGGCTTGTTCAAGGTGTAGTTTGGTAAATTATTGATCAGAGTTTTCATTATGAGAGCTTCGGTATTAAGTGTGAAGTCGCTATTATTGGACTTGATTGTTAACTTAATCACGCCTTTACAATTGTTTTCCTTTATGCCGATCCCCGTTATGACCCCTTTACACTGACTTCTAGGTAGTGATAGAAGTTGAGCTGCTTTCTCCGTGATAATTGAGGTCTGGGATGCTTGGTCCAGGAGTGCTCGGAGCTTGTAGTAAGAGCCATTGTTAGCTTGAACTTGAACAATAGCTGTAGCGAGCAGTATCTCTGGCACGTCGCGCTGCTGTGACACGTGCACACTGTTCTGGTTCTGCTGGACAGCATCTGCGCTGCTTGATGAGTTTCCCTGGTTAACCGTTCTTGATGAGCTAGGTTGTCTCATGTTTTTATATGTTACGAATGCTTCGTGCAATATTGTGTTGTGCTGACCTTGGCATTCGCGGCAGCGATTCTTAGAAATACAGTTTCCTTGGTGATGGTTTAGGCAGTTTGAGCACAGCCGTAATCTTGATATGGTACTGCGTCTCTGCTGCGGCGTCATTGTTATAAGTTTTTGGCAAAAATATATTCCATGGCCATTGTTACAGAGCGGGCACGTGATTGTAAACTGATTACTTGTTTTTGCATTTGTTGGTTCTGTAACATTATATGTAGTTGGAAAATACTTGGTATCTTGATTTATTATGCTTCACCGGGACCTGACTTGATGATGGTTTTTGCGTGGTTGATTCTTGTTTTCTACGGGATGTTTCCAACGTAGTGAATTTTCCTTCCAGGAATGCCAAAAAATCTTTGAGCGTCGGTAACTCACGTGGTTGTTCTAGGGATTCATTGTAATCATTGAATGTTTCATTGTCCAATTTTTGTGACAGTAAGTGCACCAGCAATGGATCCCACGTACTGATATCAACACCTAAGTTTTTCACGGCGTTGAGTGTCTCCAGAGTGGTGTCATGAAGTCGCTTGATCTGGTTGATAGCTTGATGTTGTTGTATGACAGGAATATTCAATAAGCTGTTGATGTGCGAAGTAAAAATGAGTTTCTTGTTGTTGTATCTGTGGTTAAGAATTTCCCAGCAGATATTATAGTTTTCAGTGCTGATCGGAAGATGCTGCAAAAGCCTTGCTGCTTCGCCTTGCACCTTAACTTTAAGAAATTGCATTTTCTGTGCATTTGATAATATTGGGTTATTATGGATAGTTTCAGTGAACAGGTCCTTGAATGACGTCCACTGATGATAATTTCCTACAAAACAGGTATGTCCATCTGGGGGGGTTGATTTTTCCCGATGGGACACTGACCACAGCTTGCTGTTGATGGATCGTTTGGTGGAATTATATAGTTGCTCATAATATGAAAAAGTGCTCTCATATTCTTGGTTGGCTCCTTGAACTTCACTGTCGATGTCCCAGTGCAGACTATCGATAGCTGACCATCGCAACTGCAAAGAGCGGAGAAGATCTTCCAGCTCCCATTTCTCCGTCACATCGTCAAGATTTATGTTAGAAACTGTCCTTTTAAATGCTCTGAAGTTGCTTGATTGCTTCTTGAATAATTCATCTGTCTTGCTGTTGGTTCCCTGGGACTCCGTTCTAAATAAATGTTGAGCTCCCGAAGTTGAGGGTGCACCCATTGGAGTTGCGGGTTTTATCAAGGGCGTTGAAGGTTTTGGTTGATGTTCCGACTTCGGTAAGTACGCTTTTATTGTAGCTGTTATATTCTCATAATTTGCCTTGGTTTTTTCATACGTATTGTTAGTAAAATAAGCATGGGACTTGTCTGGAAAAGCGCACAGTTCAACATGATTATTCAGGAATTCCTGCCAATACCCTTCTAAATTATTCAATCTTCGATTAATATAGTCGGGCGTCTTTCGCTCTTGACTATCTTTCTTAAAATTTACAAATATTTGATTAATGCCATCGATAATTTGTTGTTGATTTGCTAGGAGATTTTCCATGCTTGACATTATTTGGTGAAGGAGTTGATACGTTAAAACCTTGGTAAAAAATCACTTGCTTGTTTTTGAAAATACCTTGATACGCTTGCTTGATATGCTTGTGCTTTGCTTGTGAAATCCTTCTGCTTGATGTGCTTGATGAATGCTTATGCTTGGTGTGCTTGGAGAGTGTTGGCTTGGTGTGCTTGGTGAATGCTTGCTTGGTTTGCTTGGTGAATGCTTGCTTGGTTTGCTTGGTGAATGCTTGCTTGGTTTGCTTGGTGAATGCTTGCTTGGTTTGCTTGGTGAATGCTTGCTTGGTTTGCTTGGTGAATGCTTGCTTGGTTTGCTTGGTGAATGCTTGCTTGGTTTGCTTGATGAATGCGTCAAATTTGCTATGCTTGTGGTATTCTTGATATTCTCGGTTTTGTGCTTGGTGTTTACTGGTTCTCAGTATATTTGCAGACTCAGACAATTCGGCTGGTGAGACCCGCTGGTGGGAGGCCAACCGAACCGATCGCACTGCACTTGAGATCCACAAAACACTGATCAGTTTCTTCGAAAGACCATAAAGATGTATGGTCTTGCTATACACACACCTTTTACTTGATCTGATGATGAATGATTTAAACACGATCTTAAGAAAAACAATGATTTATTGCGATTTCACAATACACGAAACTTGGTAAAAATATAAGATCAATCTTATATTTTTACCAAGTTTCAGCACGCGACCGTATTGGTAGGCAAACACAAACACACTCAAAAATAAAATATTAATGAATGAGGTCAGTCGCGCATAGTGTCAAATTACTAAAATGCTGACGCGGCAGAATGCACGGTGTTGCACCGTACACTACCTTTTAACGACGAGGACGTCCTTTGCCTGCGAACTTGACCCCAGCTTACCTTTTGTCGTATCGCTCCCACCTCCCCTCCCTCCCGGCCTGGACGACACCAGCGGAGGCCGTCGGACCGAGGCGAAATCTGCGCCTTGAGTCTTCGTCACTCTGACCGGTGGCGTTCCAGCCTCACCCCGACAGGTGGAGGGCTGGGGGGATTGGGGTTGGGGTTGGGGCGGTTCGGGCTCTAGCCTCCCTTGACTTTAAAAGTTATCATCTTAAAGCCGAGGATGACTCTGCCGCCTGCCTTCCGAAGAGCCTCCGCCGATGGGTCGTCCAGAGAAAAGGTTACTAGGAACCCATTCTCCTCGTCCCTACGGTGGAGGATTCTCTAGAACTCAGTATGGAGCCCTTCATTTTGTGCCCTCAACAGCACATCCGCCTCTTCTGGAGAGTCGGCTTCGCTGCGGGGCAAGTAGGTAATGCCCAGCTGAGGCTTAGGCAGTTCGCCCTGGGGTATTACCGAGAGCTCTGCCTCTGGCCAGGGTTTTAGTTTTCCGATTTCACCCACAATCCAGTCCTGGCTTGCCTTATTCAGGCACGTTACCAGAATCCAACCTGGCTTATGCGTGAAACCCGAAAATTTTGGGCCCATTCCCGGTTTCGACCCACAGGCCGTCTTAGCGATGGCCTGTGTTAGTGCTCGGTGGACCAGCCGCATCTGCTCCACACTCATATGATTCGAATTGCGAATTCTTATACGCGCGGAGCCAGCTACGGCACTGAAGCTGAGCTTCTTCTCTTCCGTTGCCAGCTTCACAGTCTTCCTGGGCTGGTCTTTGGGGGACTCTTCCTCAGACCGACTGCGTTTTTTCGCCTTCGTAACTGGGGGAGGCTTGGGCAAAGGAATTTCGTTCCAAGGCTTCTGGCAGAGAGAGAGGGCCTCTTCGGCTCCAATCTCAGCTGCTATCAGCCTTCGGTACCTTTTACTCGCTGCCCCACTAAGCTTATAAGTCCTAGCGAACTTTTTATTTTCCCCTCCCTGGTTCGTTTCCGATTGTGGTTCGGCTACAAACGTGCCCACCACTACACGGCTCATCCCAGGTTGGGGCGCACTGTTGTAGGGTGTTGATGAGGCTAAAAGAGCCTCTTCCAAACCTGCAGCTAATTCCATTAAAGAAGACTTCTCATTATCTTTTACAAAATGTCGGTTTTCATCCATTTTGTTCCCACGAATAGCTAGGGAAATACTTGGTCACCCCCGGCAGAGCCACGCATGCCGAGGGAAGGGCTAAAATACTACCCGAATCGCCCTCGGTCTCGGGTAGGCACCGTTTGCGACTGGACTCCCTCCAGCCACGCATCCATCGGCACGGTACGCTTAACACCTTGGATTGGGTTAGGATAGGAAAATGGGGAGGGATAAAAGAAAAGAAAAGGGGGATCGTCCGAGTGTTTCTGTTCTGTCTGTTTACTCTTGAACCAGACCAAATAACAGGCGGCAACCACGTGAAGGAGAACTCCTCAGACTTGCCCTGGGGATCAACACGACGTGCGCTCTCCCCCAGAGCTATAAGCCAAACTGCTCGCCGGACAGGAGAGCAGAATAGGTGTTAATCTAGTCCTATTTATAATATCAAAAAGTTAGGAATAGACTAACCCCCCGCCCAATGCGTATCAAATGCGTAAGTATTTATAAAAATATCGAAAATAAAATAATAATTAATAATAATAACAATGGAAGCCAGCCGGGGCCTTTGCGAGACGAACTCAATTCTCTTTGGCGCCGCACTGGCAGTCTGCCGTATTATAGGCGCCAAACTTTCCACGGCTGGACGCACTACTGGACAAAGTAGTGCTATCCCAGCCTGGAGAACAAGAATTGAAGAACGTATCGCAAAGGCTAGGGCCCTCATCGGCAGACTGATATGCTTCAGGTCAGGCAATACCAGGCCAAGGATTGTGCGCACCGTCAGGATGGCGTTTGCTGGGACAAACTAACATTTGTCCCAGCCGGATATAATGCAAAAACTGACGGAGCGCATAGACGACCTGAAGCAGAGAATCGCTGCTTGGGGAAAGCGGATTCGGCGATATACCGAGAGGTCGACACGGTTCAACCAGAATCGTCTCTTCCAGAGTGATCAGAATAGGTTCTATAAATCATTGGAGCGACCAATGGTAAGTGGAACGGGCCCAGTACCGAATCAGGCCGACACGGTCGCATTCTGGCGCAGCCTGTGGTCAGAGCCCGTAAACTACAACAAGGACCCTTGGACGGAAGTTGTGGCGAATCAGTGTGCGGGTATTACGCCCATGGACCCCTTCACCATAACGCCGGATGACGTAGCTGAGGCGGTCCGTAGGGCCCCGAACTGGAAAAGTCCCGGACTCGACGGGCTGCATCACTACTGGCTGAAGGGGTTCGTGGTGTGTCACACTGTGCTCGCCCGACAGTTTCAAGAGGTTCTCAACCAGAAATCGCTCCCGAGCCTCTTCACTACTGGGATCACCCATTTGGTTCCTAAAGGCCAGGGTACCACAGACCCGAGCAAATACCGCCCCATCACGTGTCTACCGACCATATACAAGACACTAACATCCATTTTGAGCGCGAGAATCACTCGTCACCTGGACTCAAATCAGGTGATGTCGCGCGCTCAAAATGGATGTCGGGGCGGCGGTCGTGGAACCAAGGAACCACTCATCATTGACGCGGTCATTGGCGAAGTGGTGAAACGCAACCGTCGGAACTTCACCGCCGCCTGGATAGACTACAGAAAGGCATTCGACTCGGTACCCCATACATGGCTAAAGAGAGTCCTCGAACTGTACAAGATAGACTGTACAGTTAGAGACTTCCTCGAGCAGTGTATGGGGCAGTGGAGTACGATCCTTTGTCATCTGGGCGAGCGGATGATGGCTGCGGAGAACCACATAAGGATAGGAAGGGGTATCTTCCAGGGCGATTGTCTGAGTCCAATATGGTTCTGCCTCTCTCTGAACCCTCTCAGTACCTTACTGGAGGGCTCCGGGAGGGGATTTCAGCTATGGAAAGGAGGGACAAAAGTGACCCACCTTTTCTAAATGGATGACCTCAAGTTATTCGCCTCCAGTCGCTCCCATCTTATGGAATTGCTAAACATCACTTGTGAATTTAGCAATTCCATTGGAATGGAGCTGGGGACGGATAAGTGTGCGGTACTCCATGTTGAGAGGGGTAGGGTTGCTAACTCTGAGGGCATAGACTTATCTATGCCCGTCAACTTAAGGACCCTTTCCGAAGCTGAAACATACCGATACCTGGGTATGTCACAGAACATCGGTATCGATGAGGCTGGTATGAAACAGTCAGTTTGCGACGTGTTTTATGCACGCTTGACCAAAGTGCTTAACAGCCTTTTGTCCGGTGTGAATAAGACACAAGCATATAACGGCTGGGTCATGCCTGTCCTCATGTATACCTTTGGCATACTCAGGTGTACTCAGACTGAACTTAACGCCCTGGATAGAAAAGTCCGCACTACCATGACGTCCCACAGGATACATCATCCGAGATCGTCGGTAATAAGGCTGTACTTGCCGCGAAAGCATGGTGGGCGTGGCTTCTTGAGCGCGCTCACCATGCATAATCGCGAAGTGTGCAGCCTCCGTAATTACTTCCTGGCGAGATCGGATGATCCATTCTATAAGGACGTCATTTCTTGTGATATATGATAAAGGACTTACCCTTCTATCCTTAGCCAACGAGCAATGGCAAGACCCGGCAGTGCAGACAATTTCCGACCGGGAGACCGTATGGAAGGAGAAGGAGCTCCACGGGAGGTTCTACAAGTCTCTACATGGGCCTTTCGTAGACACAGTAACCTCCCTCCACTGGCTACGCTTTGGTGACCTCTTCGGGGAAACCGAGGATTTTGTCTGTGCAATACAGGATCAGGTTATTAAGACCAACAACTATCGGAGATACATCCTAAAGGATGGCACCATCGACATCTGTCGAGCTTGTCGCCATCCCGGTGAGTCACTTAGGCATGTCATCTCCGGTTGTTCGACGCTTTCTAACTCTGAGTCCTTGCACAGGCACAACCTAGTAGCCAGAATTCTACACCAGGAGCTCGCTCTGAAATACGGTTTCGTGGATCGGAAATTGCCGTATTACAAGTACTTGCCGGAAGCCGTGCTCGAAAATGATCGCGCCAGGCTCTACTGGGACCGGACCATCATCACAGACAGGACTATTCTTGCGAATAAGCCTGATATTGTGCTGATGGACTGGGCACAGTCAAGGATATTTTTGGTCGACATTACCATTCCGTGTGACGAGAACCTCGTGAAAGCCGAAACAGATAAGCAAACAAAATATCTGGACCTGGCTCACGAGGTGACCGACATGTGGGGTGGTCTGCCGACCGAAATTATTGCTGTAGTCGTCTCTGCAAACGGGCTAATCCCAGTCAGCCTCTCGGGTCATCTGAGGCGGCTGGGACTACGTGGCGGACCACTCCAGGCTCAAATGCAGAAGGCGGTGCTCCTCGATACCGCCCGCATCGTCCGCCGGTTTCTTTCCCCTTCCCCCTAACCCTCGGCTGTTTGGTCTCCCCTGCCGAGGGCCTCCATCTGGTAGGGCTTTTATTTATATATGTATTTTTATATGTATTTTATGTTATTGTTATTTATGTATATTTATCTTTTCATTTCCATTTATAATTATATATTTATAGAACCCAACCAGATGAGAAAACTATATTGATACCCCCCACATAATAATAAAATAACATAAATCGATTTGACCGTTACACATATACATCATATCCGATTTAATTATATATTAACAAAACCACCAACAAAACTTACCATAATGATATAATACAATACTTTTTGTTAAAAATACAAAGAAAAAGTCTTAAATATATGTAAGTAAAATTAGGTAATAAATTAGTTCATATACCTGGGGTGCCTGTTCGAGGCAATGGGTACATGGACATGAACCCAGTGCCTCAAAAAAGTACACTCGGGTTTCTCACTAATTACGTTAAGAGTGCTGTTGGCGCTCCCACGAACCCTGTGTATCAGTGACGCAGTTCTTTTGCGAATAAGTGTTGAAAAATTGTCTACGTGCGCGTCAACAAACATACCTGATGCACTACAGCAACAATCGAAAAGCGTTATTATATTGTGTACGTAGGGTGTTGTATGCCCGCCGCGTATATCTGACCCATAAGGCACACGTATAGAGGGATTGGCAATAGGCCAATAAAATAATATTATGTACGTATTACAATTAAATTAATATTATTTTAATTTTTATTTAAGTATAGTTATTTATTGCACTTAATACTTTATAAAATTTATGTAAGATTGGTATTTGAAACCCAAATAACAGTCAAAATGGAAAATGTCTAGTTCCAAGTTTACTAAGGGATATGAAGGAGGTGAAGAGTCGTACTCACCAGCCCGCAGTGCCCATCATCAGCGTCACGGCTCCTTATTCTCGACGAATTTGTTTTGGTTCGCTGGATCACGACGCTGTATGAATCGCCCGCCGATGCGCGAAAATGGGTAAAATTGTATACGCGATATTCACGAACGGTGGCACAGCTTTTCCGGTGATCCTACCGGCTGCGCCAGTCAAGTTGCGGGAGCTGCCGAGAGCTTTTTAAAAACCAATTAAAACTAATTAAAACTACGTGCTCACATAGAGAGATGTGAATTTATTTTGCCCATTGTCTTTTACAATTCTTAATCTACAGTCTACTTAAATTACTACATACTCGGCGTTTATGTATTTACGCTGATGGACGCTTTATACGTATTATGGGTGGTGCTGATGTAACCATAACTACCTTTTGTCCGGTGTGAATAAGACACACGTATATAACGGTTGGGTCATGTCCGTCCTCATGTATACTTTTGGCATACTCAGGTGGACTCAGACTGACATTACCCACGACGGACCACGATTGAACGTCCCATAGGATGCATCATCCGAGATCGTTGGTAATGAGGCCGTACTTGCCGCGAAAACATGGTGGGCGTGGCTTTCTAAGCGCGCTCGCGATGCATAATCGCGAAGTGTGCAGCCTCCGTCATTACTTTCTGGCGAGATCGGATGATCCATTCTATAATGACGTATTTATAGTGATAAAGGGCTTACCCCTCTATCCTTAGCCAACGAGCAATGGCAGGACCCAGCAATACTTAGCTTTTCCCACGGGGAGACCGAATGGAAGGAGAAGGAGCTCCACGGGAGGTATTACAGGGCTCTACATGAGCCATTCATAGATACAGTCGCCTGACAGTAAAACATAGCCAGTGGAGGTCCACTGGCTAAGTTTCGGTGACCTCTTCGGGGGGAACCAAGGGTTTTGTCTGTGGAACACAGGATCAGGTTATTAAGACCAACTACTATCGGAGATACATCCTAAAGGGTGGCACCGTCGACGTCTTTCGAGCTTGTCGCCATCCCAGTGAGTCACTTAGGCGTGTCATCTCCGGTTGCTCGGCGCTTTCTAACTCTGAGTACTTGAACAGGCACCATCTAATAGCCAGAATTCTACACCAGGAGCTCGCTCTGAAATACGGTCACGTGGATCGGAAACTGCCTTATTATAAGTACTTGCCGGAAGCCGTGCTCGAAAATGACCGTGCCAGGCTCTACTGGGACCGGGCCGTCATCACAGATGGGACTACTCTTGCAAACAAGCCTGATATTGTGCTGATGGATCGGGCACAGTCAAGGATATTTTTGATCGATATTACCATTCTGTATGACGAGAATCTCGTCAAAGCAGAAACAGATAAGCAATCAAAATATCTGGACCTGGCTCTCGAGGTGGCCGACATGTGGGGCGGTCTGCCGACCGAAATTAGTCCTGTAGTCGTCTCTGTAAACGGGTTAATCCCAGCCAGCCTCTCGGGTCATCTGAGGCAGCTGGGACTTCGTGACGGACCGCTCCGGACTCAAATGCAGAAGGCGGTATTCCTCGATATCGCCCGCATCGTCCGTCGGTTTCTTTCCCTCTTCCCCTAACCCTCGGCCATTTTGTCTCCTCTACCGAGGGCTTCCATCTAGTTCGGCTTTTATTTATTTATGTATAATTTATTTATTTATGTTAGTATATTAAATATATATTTATAAATATTTATCATTTCCTTTTATATATTTATTCAGCCCAACCAGATGTGATTACCCTATCAATAACCCCCATAATAATAATAATTATAAAATGGCGTAGTGGCCTAACCATGAAACGGCGTTAAATGACGCCCATTAAATGGATGATAGAATTAAATAGAACGCGCAAAGAGCCGCTGCCTGGAGATCGCTAGGGCGCGTCTGGAGCTGGCGCTGGACGCGACAGCATGCGAACCACCAGTCGAGCACGAGGTGCTGCAAGACCACCCAGCAGCCCCTCGCATCCATCATCCCACTAGCGGACTTGGTGTCGGCAGGGTCTTCGCAGGCCCAGCAATCGGCACCTACCACTGGTGGAGTACGCCGCATGCGTTGGACAGTCCAGATGAACAGCAACGCTTTGCGGGCGTATTTTAGGGCGAAAGGGGGAAGAAATTGGAGGTTTTGCCTATCGGGCTAGGATGCATCGACTTTTTGCTGACCTCGAGCCAGCTATAACCGTCACCGAGCAAAACCTGGTAGACCGAGTTCGGTATATCTTGCGCTCAAATATATTTGATGTCGCCGAACTCGAACGACAACGACTTAAGGCTGTTCCCTCTACGGATGAAAATGCTACGGCTGAGGTTGCGGCGCCACAACTTACAATGCAACCCGCAAACGTGGATGCCGCCGTGAATACCCCAGTTGTGGTTGATTCAAACTATGATGGAACAGTCGCCCAGGAACTGGAATTAGAGCAAATGAGGAGTACATTGGAAGAGGCGATTGTGGAAACGCGCAGTACGCCTCTCGAAAATCGACCGCGACTTCCCCCGCATAGCCCTAAGCAAAAATCGATATCCCAGCCTGGAGAATAAGAATTGAAGAACGTATCGCAAGGGCTAGGGCCCTCATCGGCAGACTGATATGCGTCAGGACAGGCAATAACAGGCCAAGGATTGTGCGCACCGTCAGGACGGCGTTTGCTGGGACAAATGTTAGTTTGTCCCAGCCGGATATAATGCAAAAACTGACGGAGCGCATAGATCGACACAGTTCAACCAGAATCATCTCTTCCAGAGTGATCAGAAGAGGCTCTATAACTCATTGGAGCGACCAATGGTAAGTGGAACGGGCCCAGCACCGAATCAGGCCGACACTGTCGCATTCTGGCGCGGCCTGTGGTCCGAGCCCGTAAACCACAGCGAGGGCTCTTGGACGGAAGCTGTGGCGAATGAGTGTGCGAGTATTACGCCTATGGACCCCGTCGTCATAACGCCGGATGACGTAGTCCGCGACTCGACGGGCTGCATCACTACTGGCTGAAGGAGTTCGTGGTGTGTCACGCTGTGCTCGCCCGACAGTTTCAAGAGGCTCCCAATCAGAAGTCGCTCCCTAGCCTCTTCACTACTGGGATCACTCATTTGGTTCCGAAAGACCAGGTTACCACAGACCCCGAGAAAATACCTCCCCGTCACGTGTCTACCGACCATATACAAGACACTTACATCCATTTTGAGCGTGAGAATCACTCGTCACCTGGACTCAAATCAGGTGATGTCGCGCGCTCAAAATGGATGTCGGGGCAACGGTCGTGGAACCAAGGAACCACTCCTCATTGACGTGGTCGTGGGCAAAGTGGTGAAAAGCAACCGTCGGAACTTCTCCGCCGCCTGGATAGACTATAGAAAGGCATTCGACTCGGTCCCCCACACACCACGCACGCACGTACGCACGCACACGCACGTATACACTTTTGTAATTTTTGTAAATTTTGATTGTAAAAGTCGAGTAATTAGTTTTTGTCATATTTGGTTTTTAAATTAAAAAATGTATGTTTAGATAAGGAAGAGCGAGGTTTCCAAACACAGGCATTACTTGCTTAAATGGAGATCCCAATCAACTATGTCATTACTTTAAGATTTATAAAGAAAATTAAATTATTTTATTTTATTATTATTTTTTAATACAGGTAGACTTCTTCGAGCTATGTATGGGGCAGTGGAATACGATCCTTTGTCATTTGGGTGAGCGGATGACGGCTGCGGAAAGCCGCATAAGGTTAAGAAGGACCTGGACCGCTCCGGGCTCAAATGCAGAAGGCGGTGCTCCTCGATACTGCCCGCAGCGTCCGCCGGTTTTTTTCCCTTTCCCCCTAAGCCTTGGCCGTTTGGTCTCCCCTGCCGAGGGCTTCCATCTGGTTGGGCTTTTATTTGTTTATGTATTTTTGTATTTATTTTATTTTAATGACATTTATGTATATTTATCTTTTCATTTTCATTTATAATTATATATTTATAGAACCCAACCAGATGAGAAAACTATATAGATACCCCCCAGATAATAATAAATAAAAATAGTTTATTGAGTAAATAATCATACATTAACTCCTTTTAAGTATAAAAACTTGTGTTAGGAGACTCCACTCTTCCATAGCACTTACATTTTTGTTTGCATGATCTTTACGTAATAATCATAGAATAGGTACTATAATACATATACATAATAGAACGGGTTGTGGGCGAAGCCCGTATAGCCACTAACTTGTCAATTCACAACTATAAATGTCCACACAATCTATCGTTTCCAATTATCGTGTCAAGCGTCGCTGCATGCAAATTATTTAAAAAATGCAATGGTATTTACGTGTCCGAAATAACAGCGGGAAATGGAATTTAAATAAGGGAAACATATCCTACAACCAGTACTTAATATGTCGAAACTATTTATATATTGTGGCAAAGGTATATACGCGAGCGTATGCGCGCGCGTGTATGTGTGTGTGAGTGAATGGGTGTGTGAATGAGTGAAAGAGTGCGCGCACGCGCATGTGTCTTATAAATAAATTATATTTTATTTTTATTTTATTTATTAAGGAACAGCAAACAGCCACAAAATACAGTAATATCTAAAATACAATAACATTATGTATTCACAATGATGTAGCCCACAACGCTATCCACATATTGCAATGTTACTCACAGTGTTAATTAAATTGTCGCGGACGCTGAATAAAAAGTTAATAACTAAAAACTAAAAAACCGGCCAAGAGCGTGTCGGGCCACGCTCAGTGTAGGGTTCCGTAGTTTGCCGTCCGTCACATAAAGTGTTCCCACTTATGAGTTTAAAGGTGGGTATCTATTATGTTCGCGCTCCAGCAGGGCTCCGCGCTCCTGCAACTGCTCCCGGTAGTGGACACTGTTGTTTCAATCCAAGTTCAAAATGATTTTCCTAGAAAGTCCTAATAAAGTTCTGCTTTTCAGATTTTTTCATATTTTCTAAACTTATGGTTCAAAAGTTAGAGGCCCCTAACTTTGTTTTTTACTTTTGGAGCGATTATTTCCGAAATTATTGACATATCAAAAAATTTTAGTAAACCCCTATTCATTTTTAAATACCTTTCCAGCAATATATCACACGTTAGGGTTGAAATTAAAAAAAAATCACTTCCCACTTTACATATAGGCAGGCTACCCTAATAAAACATTTTTTTTTACCACTTTGTCGGCGTGATTGATACACATATTGGTACCAAATTTCAGCTTTCTAGTGCTATCTAGTGCGGTCACAGAGATTAAGCGAGGACGGACAGACGGACAGACAGACATGGCGAAACTATAAGGGTTCCTAGTTGACTACGGAACCCTAAAAACAAAGAGCCAAAATAATATTATTTTTACATTTTTAATTTTTCAAATATAGATCTTTTAAAAGCAAGAACATTCGGTGTAAACAAATCTATGTTACCATCATTGAAAAACTCGTTAAAGGAAAGCACTATACGGGGAACTGGCGCGCGCAAGCCGGTATTTGTACGACATGTACTGACGGCGAACAAGTTACGAGTGCGCACAGCTCGTATATGAGCACTACTAGGAACTACGAAATTTGAATTGGAAACTAACTCAGTACTGCTAAATTTGTTGTTGACTATTTTATACAATGTTATAGCTTCAAGATATTTACGTATACATTCATGCGACAAAACACCAAACTCTCTCAGCAATGGGATACGAGACAAGTAAGATTTATGGCATCTGTAGTACATGGCACGCAAAAACTAATTTGGGACTTTCTCAATAGCTTCTTTGTATACTTTATAGTAGGGATTCCATATAAGTACAGCATATTCAAGCTGGGAACGAACAAGAGTTTTATAGAGGTATAAGTATGTGGTTGTTCGTTTGAAGTCAGTGGAAGATCTCATAACAAATCCGTACATTTTAAAAGCTTGTTTGACTATTTTATCAATATGGATGCTTAGTTGTAGCTTAGAGTCTTACTGAATCCCCAAATCCCTTAAGTCAGTCACTCTGACCAAGGACTTTTTACAGAGCTTATTTTGATATTATTTCATATTGCTTAAAAAGCCTCAGTATCATCATAACTCTTATGAAATAGCCATTCGGTTAGAACATATTAATAGTTATGATAGTTAAGGTGATGAATTTTTATGCTTTTCTAAATGGCGTTTTATAGAGTCACTAACTGTTTTACATATTGCCTCCTAGCTAAAACAGTTTTCACATCGACAGCTGTAGCCACTACGTTTTTCCTTCTTTTGGCTACAATTTTTTGGTTTAACTTTATACCTTTATGCAGTCTTAGAACTGAATATAAGATAACAGTAAGTACATTACTTATAAAATGCATAATTTTTTATTTAATTTCTCTATGCCCTTTCAACCTCTATAATATACTAAGATAGGTTGAGCCAAAGCAATGTAATATATTTGGTATAGTAACTTTTTCGCCTTAACGTTTTAAATGTCAATGTAAGTTTCCTAAGTCTATTCACGATTAATTCAATGTGTCTATGCCATGACAAATGTTGGTCAACTACGACTCCTAAATACTTGGTCTCAGAGACCTCACTAATTAATGAACAGCTGCAACTAGTACTTAAGGGATCATAGCATGTGTAAAGTTTAATTTGGAAATTAATATTAAGCTGAGTTGGAATATAATTTGTAAAACATATATAACTAATTTTAAAAGTATTTAAAGTAAGTAGGTTAGTGTTCAACCACTTAGCGATCCTAGCAAAGCTTTCTTCAACAGTGCCCCAGGAGTCATCAGTAAATATTACTGCAGTATCATCTGCACAGGAGAGATTTTGATAAATCTTATTTCACACCCCAAATTATCAATAAAAGAAGGTTAGCCTATGGAGTGTAGAAGTAAGGAGTACCAACTCCCATAGTAGAATAGTTGAAAAGTGGCCATCTGTAAACAGTAAATAACAGTTCAAACTCAAACTCTCCACAACAGCGCTGGAGTAGCTACTGGGATGAAATGAACTTAGCAGATGTCGACGGTTTAAGTGTACTGCTAAACTGCTCAGTAGCTCTAAAATAATTTTATTTAGTAAATATAACCTCGAAAAAGTCGTCTATCCCACTAATATTTTTCGGTGCGTTCTTTAAAATTTACCCCGTAGTTATAGTGGCGCCACCCTTATTTAACGGTTTTCTATGGACACTTTTTAATACACAGTCTGTACTCCTTACTTCTACACTCCATAGGTTAGCCGATACTGCTGTACCAACCTTGAATTTATGGGAGGTAATTTCTAGCTATAATTATATCAATAGATTAAATAGTTTTATTATTACCCTTGACACCACTGACAATATTTTAGAATTTTGACAAGTTTACAATTATGACTTATATTTACGCGAACACTACATATTAAATGAAAGTAATTTTAAAGTAAAGTAAAGTAAAAGTAAAATATACTTTATTGTACACCAAGGAACATATTACATTATTTATATATTTAAAGGGACATTGGTACAACAGGCGGCCTTATCGCTAAAACAGCGATCTCTTCCAGGCAAGCTTAGGGCAGAGGATACTATTTTAAAAGATAGCGGAAGGGGTGTACAGAATATGATAAAGAAAGATAAATAGAAGAACATAAATGATTAAAGAAAAAAAATGAATGACGACAGGTAGTAACTTAAGAGGAAAGGTAATAAAGTTTTAATTTATTTTTAAATATAGGAAGAGATTTAGATTTTTACGGATTTTATCACGTTAAATTTTGACTTTTGATTCTAAACGTTTCGGGTGCTTTACAGTACGAACTTTAATGTCACACCTATGACAAAATGCGGCACGTGTTGAGGCGGGCCGGCACATATACAATACATATATCTATAGCGATACATACTGTACACATATATATTTATATATATATATATATATATATATATATATACACTATAGAGCGGACATTGGGAACATTTTCATACAAAAGCTGTGCCCACACGCATGTATTACACCCTCTAGCGAAATATAGCAATACTACACTGAATATTTAT